CTTGAACCCAGGAGGCGGAGGTTGCAGTGAGCCGAGACTGCACCATTGCACTCCAGCCTATCCAATAAGAGCGAAACTCCGTCTCAAAAAACGAAAATAGGTAAATATTGTTTAATAGGAACTTGAAAATATACACTTTAAAATAATGCCATGGTGCAAAACTAAGAATTTTCTAACTAGGAATTGTTAGCATTTGGTTTTAAAATTTAGGGTGAGCATGGTGGCTCACGCCTGTCATCCCAGCTATTTGGGAGATCAAGGTGGAAGGATCTCTTGAGCCCAGGACTTTGAGACCATCCTGGACAACATAGTGAGACCCTGACTGTATAAAAAATTTTAAAAATTAGCCAGATGCGCTGGTGCATGCCTGTGGTCTCAGCTACTTGAGCCTGAGGTGGGAGGACTGCTTGAGTCCAGGAGGTTGAGGCTGCAGGGAGCTTTGGTTGCACGGCTGTAGTCTAGTCTGGGCAACAGAATGAGACCCTGTCTCAAAAAACATATATATATATAAGTTTTTTAAATCGGCTTAATTATTATTATTATTATTATTATTTTTTGAGACAGAGTCTCGCTCTGTCGCCCAGGCTGGAGTGCAGTGGCCAGATCTCAGCTCACTGCAAGCTCCGCCTCCCGGGTTCACGCCATTCTCCTGCCTCAGCCTCCCGAGTAGCTGGGACTACAGGCGCCCGCCACCTCGCCCGGCTAGTTTTTTGTATTTTTTTAGTAGAGACGGGGTTTCACCGTGTTAGCCAGGATGGTCTCGATCTCCTGACCTTGTGATCCACCCGTCTCGGCCTCCCAAATTGCTGGGATTACAGGCTTGAGCCACCGCGCCCGGCCTGGGCTTAATTTTTTTTTTTTTTTTTTTTTTTTTGAGACGGAGTCTCGCTCTGCCGCCCAGGCTGGAGTGCAGTGGCCGGATCTCAGCTCACTGCAAGCTCCGCCTTCCGGGTTCACGCCATTCTCCTGCCTCAGCCTCCCGAGTAGCTGGGACTACAGGCGCCGCCACCTCGCCCGGCTAGTTTTTTGTATTTTTTAAAGTAGAGACGGGGTTTCACCGTGTCAGCCAGGATGGTCTCGATCTCCTGACCTCGTGATCCGCCCGCCTCGGCCTCCCAAAGTGCTGGGATTACAGGCTTGAGCCACCGCGCCCGGCCAAGGCTTAATTATTTTTAAGTTGTACGTATTTATGGGACATTTAGTGATGTTTTGATACACATAACTATAGTGATCAGGGTAATTAGCGTGTCCATCATCTCAAACATGTATCATTTCTTTGTCTTAGGAACACTTAATATCCTTCTCCTAGCTGTTTGAATCTATGTAATAGATTATTAACTGTAGTTATCCTACAATGGTATAGAACACTAGAACTTACTCCTTCTATCCAGCTGTAATTTTATCCTTTGTTTGTATCCTTTAACAAATTTTAACTGTGGAATTGAGGGTGACTATCAGAAAATCAAGTCATTTAGACTTTGGCTTAACTTTCCTTTATCACAAAACTGTTTTCTGTGGTGATCACCTGAGTCTCTGAGCTTCAGTGGTTTCTTTTGTGTCAGAGTGGGTACCTCCCCACTGCCACACTAACTTGACACACAAAAGGTTGCCAAATCCCTTTTCCTCTCATTGTTTTATTATCTTCCCATCCCATAACAAAAACTTAAACTTAACCTCTACTTGTTTCAGATTCCCGGCCTTTAATATAATTTCATTTTGTCATTGTTTTCAGCTTTATTATTTTAATACATAAAAAATTAAAGCAGAAGTTTATTGAGTGAAGTATTTTTAAAATAAAATTATAATTTTTTGCTCTGTTTCTTCCTTTCTGTTTGCTTATCTTTATATTAGACGGGTAACTATTTCATTCTGCCTGTGAAATGTCCTCCTTCCTGAATATATTGATTGAGCTTCATTGCTCAAACTTAAAACTTATTCTTCGGGATTATTTTTTAAAATTTAGTTAATTAACTAATTAATTAATTTTTTTTAGTGACAGGATCTCACTCTGTTGCCTGGGCTGGAGTGCAATGGTGTGATCATAGCTCACTGCAGCCTCCAACTCCTAGGCTTAAGTGATCCTTTCTCCTCAGCCTCCTCTGTAGAGGGGGTTGCAGGTGAGTGCCAGCATGTCCAATTAAATTTTTTTTTTTTTGTAGAGGTGGGGTCTTGCTTTATGCCCAGGCTGGTATTGAACTCCTGGCTTTAAGCAGGATTATTTTTATTTTAATAGTGGCCTTTAGTAAAGGCTATATTACATTTTCTGTACGTTCGTGGTGGCCATGAAGTTAGCAGATATTTGTGCACAGAATCTGAGTGAAATCCAGTTGTGGTTAAAGCAATTTGGTTATACTCTGATTCTCTTATTCTTCCATTTCTGCTTTGCTTTTTTCATATATCTTGAGTCTCTTCTCTTTATTTCCAGTAATTTCCTGTTCAGCTTCCCTTTGCATTTAGTTCTCCTGTTTGTTCTGCTGTTTGTTTCTTTCCTTTCCTTTCCTGTTGGCCTTTGTAGGAATTTGTACTTGTGGGACGGAGAGTTGCTTGTTTAGAGAACCTCCTCTGGGCATTGATGTTGGATTTTGGTTATTTTGTAGATTAAAAAGAGAACAAAGTGGAGCCAAATGTGCACACAGTATAGCCACAGATTTTGCTCAAAGTACAATTTTCATGACAAATTTATTCACAAACTTAGACTAAAGAACTGGAAGAGGAACCATTTATATGGCCTCTTCCAGTCTTCTCATTTTGGAGATAAGAAAACTGAGGCCTTGGGGAAGTGGTTTGCCCAGAGATACATGCCTCCAATAATGACACTGTGAAAGTGCTCTGCTTAAATGACTGTTTTACAGGATTAAATTTGTCTCTTATTTTATAAAGCCAGGAAAGAGGCTGAAAGATGTTGTTAAATGGTTGAGAGAAGAACGAACACATTTGGTCACTTTTTATTTTAGACCTTTGATGTATGGTCCCCATGAATCAGGTTTCTGTTTGTTTTTAACTCTGGCATGGGCTCTAAGGGTGACATCACACTTTTTACTTGAAATCTCACTGGAAGCAAGAGCACATGGAAAGTACCTTTTCCTGATACTTGTTCCCTCACCCCCACAACATTAAGATACACACAGTTACACATTTATAGAGAAAAAAAGAAATAAAAATTGATAATTGGTCAGAGTGTTCATTAATACTTTGCACCAGTGGATATAAAATGAGAATAAGAATAGCTTACTTAATTTTGAGTGCTAATTATTTTCCATGTATCTGTTTGTTAAAATAGCCCTTTGAGGTGAATACTCTTACTGCCCTTTTGACAGGTAGTTAAATCTAGATGCTGAGAGGTGTAGTTACTCTAGTCATAGTTATACATACAGCTAATAAGGACCGGAATGAGGGCTAGGTAAATAAACCCTGGCAGTCTAATTCCTGGGTCCCCACTCCAACCATTGCACTCTGCAGAGGGCTTACCCACATGGCGTGTATTGTGATATATTAGGCAGGGGGCAGGTCAGGAGTTGTGAGCCATTCAGGAAGAGGGAACATCTGAGCAAATCACAGATGTACGGGCACACGATAGTGTTGGTCAGGCGTTTGGACTGAAGTGTGAATACTGCATAGGGAAATAATGGGATATAGGCTAAAGTGGTGGGTAAGGTCCTAATTTTGACATTAGTTCCCTGAGTGTTTGGGAACCACTGAAAGGTTTTAGTGGGACATGTGAGACTTCCTCAGTCTACCCCTCCCAGTACCCCTTCTTCATCTGTCTCTTGCCCTCTGACTCCTTCTTCTTGCCCCCAGCTGTACTAGGCCATGTACCAGGAGCAGGGGTGATGAGGGAATTGGAGGTAGGGGTATCTCAGTCATTCACTGAAATTTTTTTTTTAAGCCTGGCACCTCCTCCTTCCTGTGTTCCATTGGGTCTGCAGTCTTGTGTGAGGATGGGGTATGCTCTCATGAGGCAGGAGTTTGGGGGAATCAGGGGTCTGATCATTGCTTATGTGAAGGTCAGCTAGTCTCCTTGTTTTCCGCTCAGTGTGTTACTCATGCCCCTGAAGGACATGATGCCTCCAGTTCCTGAGCCTTTCTGGGGTTCTGCCAGGTTTTCTGGCTTGCCTGCCATGGATGCCCATCCACCAGCCTTGGCTTCCCTGTCCTGTGTCATTTACCACTCCATCTGCTTTCCAGCTCTTTGGACTTTCACCTGTCTTCTGGTTTCATGAAAAATAGAATTGGGGTTTCTGTTTCCCTTTATTGTCATTTTGGGGTGAATCTTGAAGGAAAAAGGGGGCATCTTCAAACCAGAAGTCCCATTCTTCATCTTTGTCTAGCATCTAGTGGATTTTTTCCCTTTGTAGTACTTAGTGGGCTCTTTAAACTAAAGTACTGGAGACTAGGAAGCTCTGAGTAAGAAGTCGGTAGTAGTGGACAGTGGGAATATATGTAACAGCTGCATGTGTGGCTGGTTGAATGTGGTGTCAGGAAGCAGGAGGATTTTAGCTTTGGCGATTTGTAATAGTAACATAGTCTCTTCTTGTTTTTAAGGTAGCTATTGTCAAGTTTGCTTGTGACATGTTACAAAGGTCGGCAATGGGCCTGCATTCCTATATAAATACTTTTATCAGCACTATCTCCATTCTTGGAACTTGACAGAATCCGTTCAGGAGCTTCACTAATAAGATGCATGCTGTGACATCTAGGTATATAGTTGAGGCATTAATAGGCATTGCAATTAAAATGGCCTCAGAGCCACCTAGCAAATGAAGTAATGTAACTTGTCTTATTGAAAGTAAGAAATTCTGAAGTAGAAGAAAGTGGTGAGATAGAAACATAAGCATCTTTATTCTTAAGATATGAGACCCATATTTTATCAGGTTATCATCATGTAAAGTGAAAAAAGTTAAACCCTTAGTGTGTTGTGCATTTTATAAGCAGCTGTATAATAGGATGGAAAATGTCAGTGCAACAAGTGTTTGAAAATGTCTGCTTTGGTGTGATTTCAGTGAGGAGGACATGTACCGTGCTGCAGATGAAATAGAAAAGGAGAAAGAATTGCTTATACATGAAAGAGGGGCATCAGGTATGTTTGGAATTGTTTTATTTATAGAGTTCTTATTGTTTATAGCAGAAAATGCAGTTAAATCAGTATATCCATTTTCATAAAATATCAATAAAATATTCTTGTGTATATGGTCTTATCTACATTGATTGTTTTGCCGAAGTATGTTTAGAGACTGTTTCCTGAGGTTTTTAAATGTTCATGCAAGCATTCTCTCTGCATTCGTTACATTCATATCATTTTTCACACCTATGAGGATTGTTTTGTTTAATCTCTCGACACCGTCCTCTCTCAGTTCTTGATTTCCTTATATTCTTAGAGGGAGAGTTCAGATTTGAAGTGCATTTTTCATTTCAAATGGAAAGACTTAACTGAGAAACTGGCTGTGTACATCTTTGCCTGCAGATGGCTATATAAATGTGATTAATAAGAAAGACAGTGATGGGATCAGTAGCACAGCCTCATCGTTTTGTGATTTCATGTCTGTGTATTTCTTGTCTTGCCTGATCTTACCCCGACCAGGACCCATTGCTGCTGGAGTGAGGTGTTACTCCTGGACCCCTCCACTGGTCTGTGGAGACTTGGCTGGCAAGGTTGCATGTGGTGCACATCCTTAGTTCCATGACTGGTCTCATGCAGGAGCTGCATAGGGATACTCTGATTTTGGGATACCTCATGAATAATCACAAGTGGCATGTTCTCTCTCATTACCTGTGTAATGTATAAGGGCACTTCAAAAAGGTTGTGGAAAAATGGAATTAAAAGATAGAAGGCTGGGTGTGGTGGATCATGTCTGTAATCCCAGCACTTGGGGAGGCTGAGGTGGGCGGATTGCTTGAGTCCAGGAGTTCGAGACCAGCCTGGGCAAACAAGGACACCTTGTGTCTACAAAAAATACAAAAATTAGTCAGGCGTGGTGGTGCACATTTGTGGTGCCAGCTACTCAGGAGGCGGAGGTGGGAGGATCGCTTGAGCCTGGGAGTTTGAGGCTGTAGTGAGCCGTGATCTCATTACTGCACTCCATCCTGGGTAACAGCGAGACCCTGTCTCAAAAAAAAATAAAAATAAAAATAAAAATATAAACCTTATTTCTCAACATAAGCTCCATCAGTTTCAAGCCACTTTTTTTTTTTTTTTTTTTTGAGACAGAGTCTCGCTGTGTCGTCCAGGCTGGAGTGCAGTGGCGCGATCTCGGCTCACTGCAAGCTCCGCCTCCCGGGTTCACACCATTCTCCTGCCTCAGCCTCCCGAGTAGCTGGGACTACAGGCGCCAGCCACCGCACCTGGCTAATTTTTTGTATTTTTAGTAGAGACGGGGTTTCACCGTGGTCTCGATCTCCTGACCTTGTGATCCGCCCGCCTCGGCCTCCCAAAGTGCTGGGATTACTGGCGTGAGCCACCGCGCCCAGCGTCAAGCCACTTTTAAATGATGATACCAGCCATTTGTTCATCCCTAAAGAACTGACAGGCCTGGGAATTTAACAGTGTAAATGCAGCAGTCTGTTTTGCATTATAAGCTGAAGAAAAATGTGTGTCCTTTAAGGGCTTCTTAAGATTAGGAAACAAAAGGAAGTCAGAAGGAGCCAGATCAGTACTGTAAGGTGGATGCCTAATGATTTCTCATCAAAATTCTTGCTGTTGTTTGAGAGGAAGGAGCAGGAGCATTGTTGGGATGCAGAAGGACTCTCAGTGAAGCTTTCTGTGGCATTTTTCTGCTAAAGCTTTTGCTTTCTCAAAACACTCTCAGATATTAATTGTTGTTTGGCCCTTCTGAAAGTCAACAAGCAAAATGCTTTCAACAGCCCAAAAAACTGTTGCCCAGACCTTTGCTCTTGACCAGTCTGCTTTTGTTTTGACTGTACCCCTTCCATCTCTTGGTGGCCATGGCTTGGAATGTGCTTTGTCTTCAGGATCGTACTGGTGAAGCCATGTTTCATCTCCCATTAGAATTCTTCGAAGAAATGCTTCGGGCTCTTGATCCCAATTGTTTAAAATTTCCCTTGAAAGCTTTGCTTCTGTCAGCAGCTGATCTGGATACACCCACGGAGTAGAAAGTTTGCTCAGCTGTAATTTTTTTGGTCAGAATTGTGTAGCCGAACCAGGTGAGTTGTCTGTGATGTTGGCTATTGTTTCTGCTGTTCATTGTTGGTCCCCTTCAGTTAGGGCACAAACAAGATTCGTATTTTCCTCCTGAGTTGATGTGGATGGTCTGACGCTGCAGGTTTCATCCTCAACATCGTAATGTTCCTTCTGAAAACGAGTTATCCATTTGTAAGCTGCTGATTTCACTGGGCCACTGTCCCTGTAAACTGTTTATAAATCATAAGTGATTTCGCCATTCTTTCACCTATGCTTCACCATAAATTCAACATCAAATTTTAGCAGAACTCACGTTGCTCTATTAGCGGTCTTTTCAAACTGATGTCTTATCCTTCTTAGTGCCTTAGATGAGATCCTGTTCATACATGTTATAACAAGTTAGTATGAGTTTATCATGGTCCAAAAAAAAAAAAAATTGAAATCCATCCATAGCTTTTTTGTAAAAGTCATTTTCCATGAACCTTAGAAGACCCTTGTCTGTGCTCTTCTGGTTTTGAGAACTGCCTTCTGTTTATGGTGAACAAAAGCATTGTCATGTGTGATTAGGAACAAATGATACACAGTGTGGTTTTTATAATACTTTTTGAGCCCTTCTCAAGGAATTGGTGAATTCTTCACTGTGGTAGCCACAGGAGATATTCTTTGTAGTAGTGCGTTCCGGGGCTGCACCGTTCCAGTCTTCCATGAAACTTCAGAGAATACTCTGTCTCTACTGCTGTGGTTGTTCAAAATTTCCTGTGGAGTGCAGTGTCCTCATTAGTCAGATTCCTAAGGAGAAAGTGCATATTCAGCTGGTGTTTGTTACCGCTGACAGTCCTCCACCCTATAGGCTCTCTGTTGTGATTCTCTTCTGTCTGGCATTGTACCCCACACAGGCTGTGAAGCTTTTCAGTGGGTCTTGTAACTCCTAGCTTTACTCTGAGAATGAAATGGATCCCGTTACACTTCTCACATCATCTCAGACCTTCTGGGTTCATTGTCCTTCCTGAAATAACATTTGCTACCCTCTCCCCTGAAGCAGAGCCCAGACTGAGGCAGAAAGTTTTCTTATCCTCTCTGTTAGTGAAAAGATTTTTTTCCACCTCGCCTGAGAGTCAGCAAACTATGGTTTCCAGGCCAAATTTGACTTGCCACCTGGGTTTGTAAATAAAGTTTTTTTTTTGAAACATGTTAGTTTACATATTGTCTGTGGTGGCTTTCGTTCATGGTAAAGTTGAATAGCTGTGACAGAAACCTTATGGCCCTCAAAGCCTTAACTTATTTCCTATCTGGCCCATTACAAAGATTGAGATTCCTGTCCTATTTGAGAGTCCCTGCTTTCCGGAGGGGTTTCAGTTTTAACTTCCCACCTCCTGAGGGTCTGATTCTTGTCTTTGTCACCCATGTGGTGGCTAAAGATCAAGCCTCTTGGTTATTTCAACTCCTGGCTTACCGCTCTGGTTTTCAACTTCCCTATTTTTGTATTTTTTATTTTTTTGCCATTAGAAATGCCCTTTTTTGAAAACAGCAGAGTCTATGTAGTTTGCAACTAAAGAAAGTTGCTTTTGAACTCTGTAGTCTGCTCGAGGTCAGGCACTGCCTTGTCCTGCATCTCCAGCTCCTAGCCTGGTACCTGGCATGTAGTAGCCATTGGAGTCCTCCTCAGAGGACCACAGCAGAATGGGAATTCAGGTATTTGATGCTGCCAGCTGTGCTGGTACCCATTTTCCCAACCCTCACTGCCTACGTAGGCCTCTGATTCAGCACTTGGCTGTGGCCTATGGCTTGATCTCTTGGCCCGTGTGAGGCTTGCGCCTTCCCCCCTCAGTCATGGGGTGCTGGGCTTGCCCCACCTTGCCCAGGAGGCCAGGTCTTGTCCTGGTGTGCACGAGAATGAGGACTGCAGGGAGGAGAGCAGGAAGGTAGATTTCCTTCCCAGGAGGCCCGTTCTGAGCTGGACATGCTTTCTGTTCAGGCTTATAACCCTAACTGGAGGAAAATGTGAACCAATAAGTGTCCTGACTCTGGACATTTGCATTTCTTCCCTTTTGGGCAGGTGAATGGAAAGACAGATACATGAGAATGCTTCCATCCACTAAGTAGACACACAAAAATATATTTCTCGAATTAAAAAAATGAAGGTTTTTTAAGGATTGGCTGTGCAGCATTGGTCTCTGTGGTCCCTGTATATTATACCTCAGGAGTCTGCTTCATTTTTAAGTGAATCCTGAGGTGTGCCACAGATAAATATGTCTGTGTTATCTGTATATGTATTATTTTCCCTTTTATGTAAAGGGTTACTTTTCTTTGTAAAAGGATTCACAATGAGATTTTTAAAAATCGACAGTTCTTAAGAGTTTACTTCATTTTTTTTTTTTTAATTTACCTAAACTGCAAGAAGGATTTAGGGCCTCTTATGTGCTCCTAATCATCCTGGCACCCATCACACCCTGGTTTATAAGTGCTTGTTGTCTTTTCTTCTCCAGCAGTCCAGAAGCCCCTTGAGGATAGAATCCTGTCTTCATCACCTTTGTATCCCCAGTTCCTAGCTCAACGTTTGGTACATTTTAGACACTCAGTAAATATTTGTTGAATTTCGTTGAGTAAAACATTTTTATTTTATGTATAACTTGCTCAGGAGTAAATATGTTGTCAGGTACTTCTGTATTTATATTCTAAAATCATCACTAGCATCTACGTCTTCAATAATTTAAAAAGGAAGTCAAGATGTGCCTGAGAATTTACCTCCTTTTCTTCCTGAAACATACACGCTAACATGTGCATGTGCGTGTATATGCACCTACCACAGAAGCAAACCCCAAACCATATATATTAAACTAGGGAAAATATAAAGGCCATTTTGTTTTTCGCTGTAACATTTGTCTGATGGTGAGTTGTATTTTTAATTTTTGGGGATGTGTTGTTGTTAGAGTCAGGTGAGGTCTGTGGATTAACAAACATGGAGAGTTCTGTTAGTTTCTGGTTTATTATCGACTACTTTTGGCTTTTTGGGATCAGGGAAGGACATAACTACATTAAGATAACTAAAAGTAATTTTTGTTATAGTAGATGTTATTTCTTTGTATAATGGTTATAAAAAAACTGATTACTCATTGTTAGAAGTGTTTTCTCATAGTTCAGACTGTCGCATCTTTAATTGATTAGGAAAGTATTCATGAGCACCTGTGTGTCAGTGCAGCTCCAGATCCTGAGGACACAACACAACTGAGAAACAAAACAAAGTCCCTGCCCTCAAAGAGCTCGTGTTTTACTGTATTTTTGTATGGGTGTGTGTGTGGAGGGGTGGGGGAGTGGTACAGAAAAATATTTCAGGTGTCGAGTGCTAAGAAGAAAAACCAAATGGTAAAAGAGGAATAGAGAGCGAAAGTGTATGTGATATTATGATACAAGGTGCTAGCTGACCCTGGAGCAGAGGCCTGCATGGAGCCGGGGAGCAGCCCTGCAGGTGTGGGGAAAAGCAAGCCAGGTGTGTTGGAGAGTATTGGGAGGCTGTAGCTGGGGCAGGAGTCCAGTCAGTGTGAGGAATGGTGGGAGGAGAGACCAGAGAGGCAGAGAGGGGGACTGTATGAGGAATAAGGCCATGAGGCAGGAGTCCCTGGAGCTCTCTGAGCCCAGGAGTGATCAGTACCATCTGATTCATGTTTAGATGGATCATCCTGGCTAGCTACCATGTGGAGAATGGTCTGGAGAGTGTGGTGATAAGGGACACCCATTGGGAGACCCCTGTGGTTATCTAGGGGTGAGGTGATGGTGGTCTGGACCAGTGGGTAGGCAGTGGTTGAATTCTGGATTTTTTTGAAACGAAGAGTGAAGGGTAACCCCCAACTGAAGCAATATTCTGATTATGCTTTGATTTATTATTTGTTTTTTTTTTTTTTTAATTCTTTAACAGAACCGAGATTAAGCGTAGCTCCTGAAATGGATATCATGGACTACTGCAAAAAAGAATGGAGGGGAAATACACAGAAAGCAACATGTATGAAAAAGGTACGACACAGAGGTGCACATATTTCAGGTCTTTCAAATAGTCTATCGTAAGTTGTTTCATATGTCATTTGATATTTTTAGACATTAGTTAAAATGACTGCTATAGACTTTATTATTGGTGTTCTTATCTTAGAGATAAGGAAATAGACTCCAAAGATAAGGATTTTGTTTTAAGTCACAGTGTTAATATAGAATCAGCATCAGTTATTCAGTGACACAATTTCTTTGAAAAACACGTAAATGACTCTGCTGTTCAGAGTTGGGCCAGCCATTGGTTGTCCTCTTGGAGCCATTTGGGAATATCCTTTTTGGTCTGGTGTTGTAAAATAAAAGCCTCAGGGATGCCTCAGGCCGATTCCACACTCCTGCTTTCCACAGCACACTGGGTTTGCTTACACACCCTCTGGTCCTGGGGCCTAGAACCTTCCTCGACTCCCTACACAGGGGAGTCAGGAACTGCTCCCTTCACTTAAGGTGTCCCAATCTCATTGCATAGACTGGTGATGTGAAGATAGTCTCCAAGGCTGTGGGATGACATTGGGGGTTCATATGATGTGGTCCTGCTGTGGTTTTTTGGGCTGGTTCATTACTCAGCTCAGACACCATGGCCTACATATACTATGCAGGTGATCAAGTAGCAGGGCCTGTGGGCTCTACCCTCAGATGTATACCAGATCCAGTATTATCAGTAGGAGGAACCATGTGAATTGCTCAAAAACAGTCAAATAGCAGATTGAACCTAAGACTTCCATGACCTCTTGAAACCTTTGCATTTATTTTTTCTCATTTTTATCTTGGGATTATTTACATTATGAATTTGAATGCACTTCTTATATATTAGAGATACTGACCGTCATATTTAATAGAAATATCTTTAAAATTTTTTTGGTTAGGATTTTAAGTTTTTAAGTATTTGAATATTTAGTCTTTTCCTCAGAGCTCGTTTTTATAGAAAATAATTGCTTATCTTTCAGCATGTACCTCAACTGCCCATGGGCTGACCTTAGTAAAAATCTAGCTGCCACTTGTAAAGCTCTGAGAGCAGATGATAGCTCTCTGCAAATCTGAAATGTAGATGCTTTGTGTTTTAGGCGTTTATTAGAGAACTCAATTATGAAACACCTGGAATTCTTAGTTCCTGCCAGAGGTTAAGAACATTTATATTTTTGCTGAACGTGCTGTTGGTCACTTGCAGATTTTCCAACCTCCAGCCCATCACGACCCATGGCAGTAATTAGAGCATCTCAGATGCCTGAAAACAGCTTTCACCTCCATTCTATTTTAGTCGTTATTTGCGTAATTGTCTATTTTTGTTTCTAATATTCTTTTGGAAGTAAGTTTCTATAAATTCAGATTTAATTTTATTCTGAAATAGCGTGAGTAATGTATGCATTTGGAAAGGTACAATTGCAATTGAATTTGCCATCGTAAGTATTCTGGGGTAATTAAGGTTTACCATAGGCAAGAAGTACATAATTATTAGTAGGTGTGATTCTGCCTGATGGAACCTTATGTGTTACAGTGGTTGGACCACTGAATAAAAATGCAGTCCTCAAAATGTTGTTATTGGGGGAAAAAAGTACTTTTGTATTCACTTAAAATATCATCCTATGACTTGAACCTTGAAAACAGCTAAGAACGAGGTTTTAGTACCTGGACACACAGGACAGAGGTGGTCTGCATTGCGCCCATTCCACAATGAGGGTAACACTTCTTTCTTTGTGTGGGTGCAGGGTAGGAAGTGGGTCTTCAGTGACTATCAAGGAAGAGTGGGATGAGTTAAGGGGCTGGCTGGACCCAGGGCCAGGGTGATGGTGGGCAGCTCAGTCAGTCTCAAGGACTGCATGTGCCTAGCTGGAGAAGCCAGGCATCATGCATGCTGGGGAATCAGAGTCACTAGGATTTTATGGTGTCTTTTCAGGTTACGTTTCAGAATGGTCCATTGGATGGCTGTTTTTGAGTGCCCAAGCATGTCACTGAACATTTTCATTTCCTTGTTTCACTTCCAGACTGAGCAAGAGTGACACTTCACTTAAAAAAAGAAAAGAAGGCGGGGCGTGGTGGTTCACACCTGTAATCCCTGCACTTTGGGAGGCAGAGGCAGGTGGATCACCTGAGGTCAGGAGTTCAAGACCAGCCTGGCCAACATGATGAAATCCCGTCTCTACTAAAAATACAAAAAAAATTAGCTGGGCGTGGTGGCTCATGCCTGTAATCCCCGTTACTCAGGAGGCTGAGGCAGGCGAATTGCTTGAACCCGGGACGCCGAGGTTGCAGTGAGCCGAGATTGTGCCATTGCACTCCAGCCTGGGCAACAAGAGCAAAACTCCATCTCATAAAAAGAAAAGAAAAGAAGCCTAACAGAATTATTCAGCCATCTCTTGGCATATAAACTTTTATATATACATGCACATACACAAAGCACCCCCGCCCTGCTTTGTGTTTTGGAAACTTGGGGTTTTTCAGTATTTTTTTAATATGAAAATATAAACTTAGTTTAGCTCTCTTTTTTCTTGCCTTTTTGTTAAAGAGTTTAGGGTTAACTGAAACACAGATTAAACCCTTCAAAATGTTGGTTGCCAGGGAGTAAGTGTTAAAACATTTGCCTAGGAAGGGACATAAAACTCCAACTTTGGGCTTCCCAGTGGTCCCAGGCCAAGTTTTTTCCACAGGAATGAAACTTTCTCTGCTATCTCAAGTCAGTAACAACCATTTTGAATTCTTTCATACCTTTTCCCAGGGCTATGAGGAGGTTTCTCAGAAGTTCACCTCCATACGGCGAGTCCGTGGTGATAATTACTGTGCACTGAGGGCCACGCTGTTCCAGGCCATGAGCCAGGCTGCGGGGCTGCCGCTCTGGCTGCAGGATCCAGAGCTCATGCTGGTACGCTGCTGCTGCAGGTTTGAGTCCAAAATGTTTCAAACAATTTTTGTGAGAAAATTTTCCCTTTCTGTCCATGCTACCTGCTATTATCTTCTGCAGTATGATGTCAGCATGTGCGTTTATTCAGTTTTGTGTGGCTGGGATGATTTCACATAGTTAAATGACCAAAAATAATTCATATTTCGTAGAAGAGAAAAATGATAAAATTTATGTGAACAATTTAGTTGAATTAGAGAGCAGATGTTTGTGTAAAGCACTTAGGAACAGTTTGATTTCAATTTTGGTGTTTGTTTTAAGTAGGCTGTATATGTTACTGTTTGAGAACCTACTGGGGTTTTAGAATACACATTTCTTTCGTTTCTAGCTATAATTCAAGAAATTAGTACTTTTGGCAAAGTGTGAAGATTGGCTTAGTAGGTGGCAGAACAGCAACACTAGAAGAGAGATGATTACTGTCACATGGAGAGGGACTTCCTGAGGAGCTGAGACTCAACCTGTCCCAGGCCTGGCCCTCTTTAGCGTTTTAAATGTACCACATGGCAGACCTGCACTGGAAAGTCATTTGTCTGCACGTCCTGACACAGATAAAGTCATATAGTCGTGTGGGTGATAGACGACTATCCTGAAAGATTTTTTGGTCAGGAATGGTTGGTCAGAAACAGCAATATACCCATGTAACAAATCTGCACATGTACCTCCTGTATCTAAAATAAAAGTTGAATTAAACAAAAGAAATGGCCACAGCCACCCAACGTTCAACAGTCACCACCCTGCTCAGTCAGCAACCGTCAACGTCGAAGCAAGACCCTCCACCAGCAAAAAGATTACAGCTTACTGAAGGCCCAGATGATCATTAGCATTTTTTTTTTTTACCAACAAAATATTTTTAAATTAAAAAAAAAAAAAAGGAAAGAAATGGCAATATGACATTAACTGGAAGAAAATTGAAAGTCTTGTGCTTAAATTTAAAAAATCCAAAACCCAGAAATGCCAGCTGTGGGAGATTGGCCTTATAGCAGTTTATGAAAAGAAAGAAAAAGATGTTAGGATTCGAATTGATTGCAAGCCCGCTATGAGCCTGCATGAAATGCGATGTCCAGCAATGATCACAAAGCCCTAGCTGCATTTTATTTTTATTATTTTTATTTTTATTTTTTAAAAAAGACCAACCTGGCTGCATTTTAAAAGGAATGATTCTAAGAATTAGACTGTGACAGCCCCACCTTGAACTGGGCTGGTCAGAGGCTGTCTCGAGCTCGGTACCTGTATCCTCAGCAGACGGAAATGTGGCCAGGATGCTTCATCGCATTCTGGGAGCAGTTGAAGGAGCTGGGGTATTTTCCTAGAATAAAGAAGACTTTTAGAGGAACTTGTTGTTGGCTAAGGTAGAGGTCTTTTAGGTGGATGAGAGATCACACGCTCGGAAGGGCAAAACCAGGACTGGTGGGTAGAGGATACTCCCCGTCTGTTCCACGATTATTTAATAAACCAGCACAAAATCACCACACCTCTATCAACTGTCAAAATGACATCTGGAGCCAAGTGTGGTGGCGCCTATAGTGTTAGCTACTTAGGAGGCTGGGGTGGGAGGATCACTTGAGCCAGGAGTTCAAGTCCAGCCTGGGCAACATAAGGAGGCCCCTTATATTGGGGAGTCTATTAAAAAAAAAACAAAACCAACATCTGGGAAAGATATTTTCTTCTAAGCAAAGATGTATGCCATCTTAAGCAGATTTTTCAGCATTAGCTTATTTCTTTCATATAGAGGCAAGAGAAATGGGTATACTAGGCTGTTTTTTCTTTTGTAAATGATGCCATTTATTAGTAAAGTATTTCAGAATTGTTTGTCAGCTGGCAAAAGCATTCCTATGGTTGGATATAAGACCCAGCTAGAGAAGCAAACAGTAATTTCACTGTTTTTGCTTTGCCTTGTTTTAACTTCTGTACTTGACAACTGTAGCTATATATGACACAATTTCTAGATTGTGGTGGCGTGTGCCTTTGTTCTTAGCTACTCAGGAGGCTGTGCTGACAGTTGTAGCTATATTATATTAATCTACAAATCTATATATTTCTAGGTTGGATGTAATATCCCCCTCAATTTAAGCAAAATTTTCCTTTTGAGGCTTTAAGGAGCTATTTAGATTTATGGACTCACTTGACACTAAATTTGTGTTTTTATACTTTCTGAGAATCTGGGGTAAATAGTGTCCTAAGTAATTAATTAAAGTATAAAATTGCTTTAAACAAAGTAAAGTACAGAGGCCGGGCGCAGTGGCTCACGCCTGTAATCTCAGCACTTTGGGAAGCTGAGGTGAGCGGATCATGAGGTCAGGAGATCGAGACCATCCTGGCAAACATGGTGAAACCCCGTCTCTACTAAAAATACAAAAAAATTAGCTGGGCGAGGTGGCGGGCGCCTGTAGTTCCAGGTCCTTGGGAGGCTGAGGCAGGAGAATGATGTGAACCTGGGAGGCAGAGCTTGCAGTGAGCAGAAATCACGCCACTGCACTCCAGCCTGGGCGACAGAGCGAGACTCTGTCTCAAAAAAAAAAGTAAAGTACAATGGCCCCGTCCCCGCCCCCTTTTTTTTTTGGTAGCAGGATATATTTGGGTAACATTGTCTGCCATATTAAAAATAGTCTGGGTAGATTACGTTCAAACTGTTCAAACTCTAATCGCTGTTAGAGTGTGTTGCATGTGTGAGTGATGGGGTTTTAAGGTGGTTTTTAAGGTGGTTTTTCACATTAATTTGAGTAATGTGAAAATAGTTTTAAAATTCTTAAGGATTCTTTCTAGTTTCTTTCCTTTTCTATGTGTATCAGCTATTCTATTTTTCTGGGAGCATAATTTAATTAGTTGGTCACTGTGGTTTGGTTTTTGTCATCTAACTTTTATTGAATGCCAAGAAGCCTCTGTCAAAGAGAGAAAACACAGTGTACCTGCCTGTGGGTTTGGTATATATGTTTATTAAACGTTGGGTCTAAATGTTAGCTGAAGAATATCTTTGTTCTTTCCTTGCTGTCATCCAGCCAGAGGACTTGTCCTTGTGTTACTGTTCCAGCCCTCAGCAATTTAACATAGTTTGAAAATTTCCTTTACCCAGTTCGTTTTGTGGTGTCACATCTGAGACATGATTGGATGACAAATTCAAATTCAGCACATGCTTCGCGTTTGAGGGGCTGGTGAAGGAAGGAAGGGACCCATAAGCTTAGTCTGGTCGTGCAGATCTCCCAGGTGGCCTGCAGACCTTCCTGTGGATGCCTTTCCACTCCTGTTCTCACTCTGGCCCCCCTCGCCCCACAGCCCTTCCCTTGGAAGGTCCACTGTGACAAGGGCTTTGTTGAGTGAGCGTTTCTTGCAGTGTGACCGAAAGAAATCAGGGGTGGAACCTTTAGCTAGCTTTATCTGCTTCTGTTTGCAGATTGAGAGATGTTCTCTGTGGCATGTTGCTGTCTTCTCTGTCTTTTAGAACGTCATTTGGATTTAGGGTATTAAAGGGAACTGGGAAAGCTAGACTGAGTGAACCTCCCCTTAATCTGTGGTCAGTGAAGGAGACCCGGGCTTCCTTTCTGCTGCTGCTCAGCTTTGCTGGCCTTGCTCTTTTCCCTGCCTATGAGGCAGAGCTTTGTCCTTATTGCCCCTCTGACAGTTTGGCTGCCCTTCACCTGTCATCCTGCCCGGGCATCCTGTTTGTTATTCACATTTCTGCCCAGATCCCAGTCTCTGTGTTTGGCTGCAGCCAGATCATCTGACCCTCACCCCAGCTATGGAGATTGCCTAGTCTGGCTCTTAAATGTGGGACAACACTTTGGTCCCTGAGAGGGGTGTCCTCTAGAGCACGGGTCTTTTGGTTTCCAAGTTCGCTACATTTTATAATGTCTCTGAACTGGTTAGACTGTGACAGTGTTTGCTTAGAGTGAGATAGACTGTGTGTCAAAATTTTTTTGTGAGTTTTGGGGATGACACATTTTTATTTGCTGTATGTTGTATCAAGAATTACCAGCATATGCTAGAGAAAACAGGCTGTTTTATAGTTTAGTCACAAGCGAAATGACAGCTAAGCTAATTACCTACTTTATTCTTGAATATTTCCAATCACTGTTTCTTATTTAAATCTGGTTTCTTGCTTAAATTTTTTTTATTCTAATAGAAGTCCAGTTTGCGCTTAGTGGAAAACAAAGGCTATTTACATGTGTTCCATGTGCTATGACCTCTGAAAGCATTTAAAGTTGTATTCACTTTTTTCTTCTGAATAAATTTGACTTCATTCTTTTCTGATGGCTTTTTTCATGCTTCATTTTTTAAAATTGTCTTAAGGATTTCTGCATTTCCTGGAAGTCTACAACCCTGAACTGTTTGACCAGTGTGTGAAAGGAATCAGAGATAGTTGTTTCTCTCTGTGTAGTTAGGTCTTCAGGGTCTCCTGAGTAATTCAGTTGAGTACTGCACCTACTTTTTAGATAACTGTATCGTGTCCCCAGATGCTCAGCCGGTCTTCTGGGCTTCCCTTCACCTCGTTTCCCAGCTCACGTCTGTGTGGCCAGTATTCTCTGCGCATTTGTAGTTCTTTGTGCCCAGTTGTAATTTTAGCTTGTTGCCACTTGAGGGCATGTGAGGTTCTTGTGATAAATCTGAGAGACCGAATTGAGGGTTTTGCCGCAGAATTGCCACATGTTGCCTAAACGCAGGGCAGTGTGGGCACGGAGTGGGCTGGTGTAGCCCTTAGGTGAGTGGTCATTTGTTACTCTAATAAGATGAGGAGGAGAAGGCCCTCTCCACCCTTAGTGAGTGATGTAGTTCGCCATCACTGTGGTCACAGTGAAAAGTAATTTGCATCCCCATCGTGGTTCTGTGTTTTGTAGAAACCACCTTAGTTTCACATTGCTGTAGGTTGAGAAGGTACAACCAGAATTACTGTTTATGAAAGGGTCTTTTAGTCTTAACATTCCAGTTGAATGGAAGATTTGGCCTAATTTAAAACTGTATTTATTTTATTTTATGTATTTATTTTTATTCATTTCTTTCTTGCTATGTAAAGTTTTTAATTTTTTGGAGATGAGGTCTTGCTCTGTTGCTCGGGCTGAAGTGCAGTGGTACAGTCATAGCTAACTATAACCTCAAACTCCTGGGCTCAAGTGATCCTCCTGCCTCAGTCTCCTGAGTAACTGGGAATATAGGCACATGCCACTGTGCCCAGTGAATTTTTAAATTTTTTAAAAAATAGAAATGGGGTCTTGCTATGTTACCTGTATTGGCAAAACTGTATCAATAACTGCTAAAGAAGGTTCCTCATAGGATATTGTAGGATTTAATTATTCTTTAATGATCTGTTGACTTGGAGGTGAACTTGTTTTCCTTTCTAAATTTTATAGCAGTGAAGTGACACACCTGTGCCCAGCCTAATTCTAGGATTTTTCTCCTGACACACCCAAGACTATTGGAAGAGTCTTACTTCCCATGCTGTCATCAGTCAGGCTGTGCCTCAGCTTGCCTTTCAAACTGCAGATTCTGTTGATAACTAGAGGGAAACAAAGTGACAAATACTCCAGGAATTAAAAAAAACCCGGAAACTAGCAATGTAGTTCAGCTGTCACTTCTTTCATGGACTAAATGAGCACAGCTCCCATAACCCCTGCCTCTGATTTTCAATGTATGTTTTATCTTAATATATCGATTAGACAGTTAAACTAGACATAGTGTCATTTCTCTGAATGTTAAAACTTTGAGTATATGTGTTAACATTATTTAACAAACTTTTTCTACCTTTTTTTGGTGGATTTTTTAAATACCAGAAACTAGGTTTTATTTTTCTTATTGAGAAAGGAGCAGGTTTGGCTTCACCCTGGACCTTCTCACATGCTCAGAAGCACTGTCCTGAGCCATGTGTTAGGTGGTGGTTGAGAGGCTGCAGTGAGTCCTGTAGCCTGAAGGTGGTTGGTGTGAGGACGTGCTGTGGGCATGGCCTTAGCTCATCTGTACAACTGCTGTGGAATGTCCTGGCCATGGTTGGAGTCCTGCAAGGCAGATTGTGCTTTGGCATCTCAACCAAAAGCACCATTTCACTCCAGCAGCCCTCCTCAGGATGGTACTTTATAAGTTCCTGACTTCTAGATTTAGGTCCTCCATCCTAAACCCACATGGCAGATTTGCAGGATTAATTCTGGAAACAAAGGTAGGTTTTATAGACTTTGTGGTATCTTACAGCTTGGATCGTGTGGTGGATTTCTTGGAATGTTAACACCTCTTTATCTCTTTGTTTCTTGATGTTGTAGTTACCAGAAAAACTCATAAGCAAATACAACTGGATCAAGCAATGGAAACTTGGACTGAAATTTGATGGGAAGAACGAGGACCTGGTTGATAAAATTAAAGAGTCCCTTACTCTGCTGAGGAAGAAGGTTTGGAACCTGTAGTGTCCTGTCTGATAAGGGTGAAGCTCTCGTTCCTGCTTGCCCCAGAAGACCAGTTTTTAGTCTTCACTCAGTGGATTTTCAAATGCTCTTGGCTGATTTTTAGGCAAAATGGTTTTAAATGAACTCAAACTTTTCCCATGAGGGCTTTGGTAAAATGGGAAGTACCAACTTTATATATTCTTAGAGCAGATGCCATGTACTAGGGTATCAAATAATGAAGTGTTTAACTTTCTTAAAAGGAAACCTTAACAAATATAGTCTTTGTTCCAAGTCATATTTATGTTTCAAGAATATCATTTGGTTCCTATTTCTTATACTAATATCATTAGTAATTCACATTTATTCTTTCCAATTACGTTCATGTTTTAAGATTCTGCCCATATTTATCAGACTTATTTTCTTTCTCAGTGATTTTCCAGTTAGTAGATTTAGTAACTTGTCTTTAGAAAACTGTCCTGAGAGGCCGGGCGCGGTGGCTCAAGCCTGTAATCCCAGCACTTTGGGAGGCCGAGACGGGCGGATCACGAGGTCAGGAGATCGAGACCATCCTGGCTAACACAGTGAAACCCCGTCTCTACTAAAAATACAAAAACTTAGCCGGGCGAGATGGCAGGCGCCTGTAGTCCCAGCTACTCGGGAGGCTGAGGCAGGAGAATGGCGTGAACCCGGGAGGCGGAGCTTGCAGTGAGCTGAGATCCGGCCACTGCACTCCAGCCTGGGTGACAGAGCGAGACTCCGTCTCAAAAAAAAAAAAAAAAAAAAAAAAAAAAAAGAAAACTGTCCTGAGAGTTTTTCTGAAACAGAATTGTAGGGAGAACTTGGTCTTCTGATTCCTATTGATTTGGTCTTTAAAATTCTACCTTTCTGTGGCTTTCCACTGTCTCCTCTGGATTGGATGTCCTGCCTGCACACTGGCTTACATGACCCCTAGCTTGCCTGCATTGAGCAGCTTGGAGCTCTTCTGACCAAGAACCCTGATTGAGGGCCTGTCACTTGCGCCAGGGTGTCAGTGGAGGGTGGTCAGGTAGAGAGGGGGTCAAACATGGACTTTTCAAGGTCCTTCCTAGCATGTTTCAAGCAGTGATTTCTTTACTCACATATGGTCTGCTGCTCCCATTAGACTTTCAGCTCCACGAGAGACTGTCCTGTGCATTCCTTGACACCCTGTGCCTAGCAGCAGGACTGGCACGTAGTAGGTGTTCATTTAGTGCTTTATTGAGTTAGTGAACTGAGGGCCCTGACTTCTTGGAACCTAGTTTTTGCTTAGAAAGATAAGAAATGTTTACTGGAAAATATGAAAATATACTGTCAAAGAAAGTCCAGTAGTTTTATCTTTCTTCTACTATAAAGAAATGGGAGCCAGAGAAGGGAAGAGGGAAATACCATTCTTGTTACCTGTTGGACTAGAACGCAGGATTTTGTGTTCCTCAGTCCTTGGGTTAGTGGAAGGTTGAGGGCAGGGCTCTAGCCCTGTGGGAGTGAACGAGAGGGCCCTTCAGCGCAACCACAGGTCATAATTTCGTTTTCATTTTTTTAAGGTCTTGTGAAATTGCTATTTCTGCTTTATTAGGTGTTTCTACTATAATTAGACCCTCATTTTTGGGAATGCTTGAGTGGCGCCAATTTTCAATAAGATTAAAATTACTCACTAATAATCTGAGCCAGCATTCCTAACACTTCTATGCCAGGCTCCAGACTAAAATTTCATGTGTTACTTAATTCTCACGACTATGAAGGTGGTGTTGCTGTGGTCATTCCTGTTTTTTAGATGAGGAAACTGAGGCCAGGAGCTCAGTTAAATGCCCTGCAAAAGCCACCAGCTGCTCTGTGGTGAAGCCTTGATTCCATCCCGACTGACTCTAGAGCCATGTCCATGATTGGTAACTTGGTCTAGTTTGGAAAATATGAGATATAGACAAACATGTACCAGCCTTCAGCCCAAATATTAGAGGGAATTCTATGCAGTCATTACCATTAAAATTCACTCTTGGATTTAAAATCCATAATGGTGTTTGAGAGGGGCACTAGTTATTGTTTATTCATAAGGAATGGTATTTATGTTGGCATCTCTTACTCTCACTCACTGTAACTTAAAAACACATAAATTTATAGGTTTTCTTTTTTAAAGAGTTTGCCTATATTCACTGAATACCTAACACATGACTTGATTCTTAATCCGGAGTCAGTAAGAGTTTCCTGAATGGATTTATTCATTTGAAGTTCATACATATTTTTGAGGTTAGAGGGATAAGTTTAGTAAATTGTTATTCAGGAGCCCCTAGGCTCTTCCTTGCCTCTCTTCCATTTTGGAGGGTTGGCTTTGTGTTTCTGGGTGCTAACCCTCCTGTAAGCCCCTTGTAATTGTAGCTGCCCTTCACAGCTTAACACAGGCTTCATACATGTGTGTTAGCTCTTCTGTAAGTGTCTGTGATTGGCTGGTTCAATCTCATTGCCTGGGAGGTTAAGGGAGTAAAAATTTCCACAGCCTCAGTGCTTCTTACTACATTGTATTTTTCTTTCAAATTAATGGGAGAAAAAGCTGAATAAGGATTTTGTGTGCTTTAAAGTGTACCATTTTTTGATCTGGAAACCTGAATATTGTGAGCATTGTTAAGTGACCCATGAAAAATAATTTTGTGCTCATAGTATGGTACTATACCAGGGATTTTTAGAACAAAAATTCTAATTATTACTTAACTTTCTTATTGTAGTGGGCAGGCTTGGCTGAAATGAGAACTGCTGAAGCAAGACAGATAGCTTGTGATGAACTATTCACAAACGAGGAGGAGGAATATAGCCTCTATGAAGCTGTAAAATTTCTAATGCTAAACAGAGCCATTGAACTATATAATGATAAAGAGAAAGGAAAGGAAGTACCGTTTTTCTCTGTGCTTCTGTTTGCTCGGGACACATCGAATGACCCGGGACAGCTTCTGAGGAACCACCTCAACCAGGTGGGACACACTGGTGGTCTTGAACAGGTAAGTTATGCTTTTGAGCATGTATTACCCCAAAATAAAGCAGCTTTACCAATCAAACTTGATGTCATAGTTTTTGTAGGTTAGAAAAAGCCGGGCGCGGTGGCTCAAGCCTGTAATCCCAGCACTTTGGGAGGCCGAGACGGGCGGATCACGAGGTCAGGAGATCGAGACCATCCTGGCGAACACGGTGAAACCCCGTCTCTACTAAAAAAAAAATACAAAAAAAAACTAGCCGGGTGAGGTGGCGGGCGCCTGTGGTCCCAGCTACTCGGGAGGCTGAGGCAGGAGAATGGCGTAAGCCCGGGAGGCGGAGCTTGCAGTGAGCCAAGATCGCGCCACTGCACTCCAGCCCGGGCGACAGAGCGAGACTCCGTCTCAAAAAAAAAAAAAAAAAGAAATTCAGGGGCAGCTTAGTTGGATGGTTCTGGCCCAGGATCTCATGCAGTTGTATGTTCAGGGCTGCAGTCATCTGAAGGCTTGGCTGGAGCTGGAAGATCTGCTTCCAATGTTGTTCACTCACGTGGGTGTGGGCAGGAGGCTTCAGTTCCTTACTGGTAGGTAGTAGGAGGGTTCAATTCCTCACACATAGGCATTCACAGGGCTGCTTGAGTGTCCTTACAACATTGCAGCTGGCTTCTCAGAGTGATCTAAACAGAGAGCAAGAAAGAAGCCAAAATGCCTTTTGTGACCTAATCTGGGATATCACACACTGTTACTGTTTTCTACTTTTTAGAAACAAGTTACTTAATGCATTCCACTCTCAGGAGGGGAATTTGGCTCCACCTTTTGGAGTGAGGAGTAGCAAAGAATTGTGGACGTACTTTACAGTCACCACCATTATCTCCACCTGGGCTTTATTCTTCAGAGGGGTGGATGGGATTAGTACTCTTGGCTCTGGGAGGCTACAAATAAATGAAGTACTTGGAAGAGCCGTTCGAAGGATCTTGTTTAATCTTGACAACTGTAGCTGCATTAAAAAGAGAAATGGAGTCACCTTAGCCAGTAGAGTTCAACCTGCTCTTGGATCTTTTACAGATAAGTTAAGTGTGGAGTTTTACACAAACCCAGTGCAGTACTATCTCTAAGCCAGTATAGTTGAGTCACCACACCTTGTGCTATCTTTGATGTGTTCATTTTCCTAAAAAGTCTTAATGAGGTTTTTTTTAGTGGAATAGTCAACCACTAAAGTAGCATTAAGGCTGTTCATCAAAGTGCCACCCTCCTACTTACATAATTGACTCTTGTACCAGCTTTTTTCTAAAAAGGACCAAGTGCCAGGACAGATACTGCAAGGATTAGAGAGCTGAGTTAGGTTCCATTCTGAGCTGTCCTGGAGTGTGAAGCTCTTCTTATTGCCAAGTATGTAGGAAGGAGTGTAGACTGATGGTCACTGCTGGGTCAGGCAGGGCTGATGATAGTTACTTTCAAAAGTTATCTGTACTCATAATGTGGGTTACTTATGTCTCCTGAACCATAGCAAGTACCTTGCAGTCAAAAGGCTTATAGAGGATGGTTTGCATATTAGACTAAAGTTAGTCTTTTCCGAGACCCTATAAGGTCTGCTGTGATGGTAAGTTCATTCTTTTTTTTTTTTTTTTTTAATAAGATATTTTCAATTTCTTTTTTGAAGTATATATACCATAAAGTTCATTCTTTTAAAGTTTTGCAGCCATCACTACAGTCTAATTTTAGAGCATTTTGTCAAAAGAAACCCCATGCCCATTAGTAACCACTTTCTCTTCTAACCTTAGGCAGCCACTAATCTACTTTCTGTCTCAATGGGTTTGCCTAGATTCTGGACATTTCATATGAATGGAATCATATATTATGTGGTCTTTTGTTTATGGCTCTTTGATTTAGCATAATGTTTTTTAAGATTTCATCCACATTGTACCATGTATTAGTAGTTCATTCCTTTTTATTGATAAGTAATATCCCATTGTATGGATGGATCACATTTCATTCATCTGTTCAATAGTTTGATGGGTATTTGGATTGTTTCTACTTTTTAGTTCTGTAAATAACCCTGCTATGAACATTCATGTATAATTTTTTTATGTGAACATATGTTTTTAGTTCTTTTGAGTATACACCAAGAAGTGGAATTGCTGGGTCATATGGTAATTCTTTAACATTTTGAGGAACTGCTAGACTGTTTGCAAAGCAGCTGTACCATTTTACATTCCCACCAGCAGTATATCAGTGTCCTGTTTCACCATATCTTCACCAACACTTCTGACTTTTTTTTATTGGGGTGAAGTTCATGTAATATAAAATTGACCATTTTAAAGTGTACATCTCATTGACATTTAGTACACTGCCAGTGACCACCACCTATATGAAGTTCTAAAACATGTCCCCCCAAAGAAAATCCTGTGCTCATGAAGCAGCCACTCCCTGTTATCATCTTACTGGTTATAGTCATTCTAGTGGGTGTGAGGCACTATCTCATTGTAGTTGGATTTGGATTTCTCTGATGACTCACAATGTTGAGCATCTTTCCATGGTCAGTTCTTGGTCAGTTGTATATCTTCTTTGGAGAAAGGTGTCTGTTCAGATCCTTTGCCTAATTTTTAAGATGGTTATTTGGTTTTTTGTTATGTTAATTGTTGTAAGAGTTCTTTATTCTGGATACAGGACCCTTATCAGACATATGATCCATTCTTTGTTCTGCCTTTTTTTTTTTAGTGGAAAAGGATGGGGGCTGGGCCCAAAGCAGGAGGAAAAAAGGTTGTGGCTTCACCATTGCTGTGCACTGTGGGATAATGGGTGGAACATGGTGTTAAGCCACATCTTTCAGTGTGATCTTCCTCAGAATACCCGTTTGTTCTTCTTCCCAGGTTGAAATGTTCCTTCTTGCCTATGCTGTGCGCCACACCATCCAGGTGTACCGGCTCTCCAAGTACAACACGGAAGAATTCATCACAGTCTACCCCACCGACCCACCCAAGGACTGGCCAGTGGTAACGCTCATTGCCGAGGACGATCGGCACTATAACATCCCCGTCAGAGTGTGTGAGGAGACCAGTCTATGACAGACGCATGCTCCTGACAGCCTGGCGACGTGGCGAAGATGCACAGGTGGCTTCTGGGCTTGGGCTGCAGGCTTGGGGGTCTCTTAAGAACAATCACTGAGAAGAACCCTTGGGCCCCTGGGAGCCAAGTTGGACAGGATGTCCTGAAGACTAGCTTTTGATAAGAGAAATTAACCAAGTCTTTCCCCTCATCTATGATGCAGTATATTTCAGTGGGGGCCTTCTGAGCACACCTGTTCGATGGTGCAAACCATATCTTCTCCAGAAGGCAAATACTTTTGTGTCAGAGGAAACTCAGTTTTGGAGAGGAATATGTTCTTTATATCTCAAATCAAAACTCTCTCTAATGGTAAACTGGCTTCTCATTTTTTTAAGACAGTATTTTTTTTTTCTCTAGTAGTAATGGGTTTCTATAGATCTCCCTATACAGTCTGCTTTAACTCAGGACCTTGAGGTTATGAGACTGATGTGCTGCCCACTGCACTAAGGGGGCCTCTAACAGTCTGCTGGGTATAATTCTGGGATGGATCTGTTACTGGCATAGTCATGACAACCTCTGGTAATCTTATCTTCTCTTTCTTATGAAGGGAAGAGCAATGGTTTGGACTTGCATCTTAATTAAGCCTATTTTAGGCAGATTGTTTTGCAGTAGATTAAGAATCGGGTCCCAAAGTGGGTTATTTCAAGGCATTTTTGAAGACTGGAGGAGCCATAGGAGGGAGTAGTGAGGGAACCTAGAACTTCTTGCTCCTTGTGACTATGACAGGTGTCTGATACCCCCAGCACACTGGAGTCTGGGGCTTGGTGCAGGTGGTGCCCCATCAGTGTGGACAGACACTACTTGCCTTTGTGGTTTAGTGTTGGAAACTTTAATTACTCTGCAGTTCCATAGATTCACGATTTTATAGCCAGACAGTTTGTATCCACCTATTTTCAGAGGAGGGACCCAAGGCCAAATTACTTTGAGGTAGAGCTTAGCTGGAGCTGAGTTTTCCTGTGCTCTTTTCATGCTGTGTTGAAGGGTGTGCCCATTGCCAGATCTGTGTAACCCATCTGGGGCAGGGGTTGAGTGACAGCAAACCATCTTAAAATTTTTTATGAGTATTTAAGGAGAAGCATGTAGGAATATGAGTACAAAAGTGTGGCTGAGCCACGTATGCCCTTGATTGGTTTTGGGAAGCCTGAGGGAGGCAGCCTTCCTGGCTACGAGCCATCTCCTGCCCAGTCAGGCTAAGGGTGGTGGATGGGGTGGTGAAGGGGCAGCTCTGCTGAGCGTGGTCTGTCTTATGGCCTGAATTGTCCTCAAGGGGTGTGGACTGCAGATGGTGTTCACACGAACCGGAGACATCACTGTTTAGGATTCTACTGGCAGCCTCTGAATTGGCTCGATGTTCGTGGAGGTGGTGTTTCCCTGAAGTACTGAGCTTTGTTTTATAATAATTAAAATCTTTATTTGGTCCAATTTAATATAGTTTAGAAGCTATCTTTTTTTTTTTTTGAGGCAAACCTTTTTTGAAAAGGTAAATTTTGTTTTTAATTAAAAGTAAAGTCTTAGTTAAGAAAACTCAGGATGCACAAAACTATTCAGACTGTTACTTTAGCTTTCTCCCATTACCTCATCAGTAATATTCACCACATTTTGCTAAATGTTTATTGATTAGAGTGTCGGAATCAAATTCTGCTCTAAATGTGTGTGAATACATTGGAGAGGCTTCGTGTTTTTCACTGTGAAATGCAATTGTGCCTTGAATAAGAAGGTACCTAGAAGCCAAATTAAAGTAATAATGACTTCTTATTGGCTTTGATTTTTCATTGTAGTATATGGGATTTTACAGCAGGAAATGCTTACCATTCATTTCTGGTATTTTTTAAAGCACAACTCGAAACATTCAGATTGTACATACATAGCAGTAGGGATCTGTGCCCTTCAGGTACATTGAATCTGACCATTAGTTCAATACTCATGTTAATAATAGTCATCTATCCTTGCATTTTGAAAATGTTCTTATCTTTGTGAACTTGAATTGGATTTCTGGGCAAAAGAATGTGTTTCTTTTATGTGGCTTTCTGTCTGAAGGCCTTGTCAGAATCTGTCGGGCTCTTGTTTAGGTTTAGTGGGATCATGGCGTTAGAGAAGCAAAGCTTTCAAAGATACAGTACTTCAGGAAATAGAAATGATTGACCAACTTTAAAAATAAATATGCAGCTTCAGTTGCCCAGAATCTGAGTTCCATTTCTCATTCTTGGTCTTGAGCTGGTCAGGTGACATCAGCAGATTAGAAGTTGAATAGAGATTAAATGGATTCAGGAGGATGTTCCACTTAGAGCAGTCTTCAAAATGATAAGGTGTTCTAGAAGAAAGGAATATAGTAGGAACTAGACTATGCCTAAGTTTCTATTCCAGAGTTTCTTGCAAGAGTTTAGGAGTTTTGGACCTTGGGTATTGGCAGAAAAGTTATCTCCATCTTTTGCAAGCATGACTTTTATACCTGTGAGCTCATTTAAGGTGCATTTAAACCTGAAATAATTTCCCTGTGTTATGCTTCATGGAATTAACATTGCTTTTCCAGAACATTTTCAGATTCCCCTCCTTACATCCTGAGCTGCTTCTGCGTATACATCTGTTGATTTTACCCATGCAGGAGGAACAATGCTAGTCACATTAGAGAACAAGAAACCAGTAATACATGGTCTCTAACTGATGATTTGGGCCTGGATTTGATTGAAAGTGTTTGCAGTTCCTCTTCCTTAGAATACAGAGTGGATGAAAATGTTTTCAATGCACAGAACAGGATGAATCCTTTTTTCTTTATATAGTGACTTACACTTTTGTTCCTCTATTATATATTCAGTTAGTGTCTGATAAGATTTTCTTTGCTTAAGGATAACAGACATTGCTTTGGTATGTTTTGTTTTTTTCCCTCCACTTTTGGAGCTTATCAGGTAAAAATCTCAAGCCACATGAATTGTTAACACCTCTGTTGGGAAAAGCCTTTGTGAGTTTTTATGTACTAGGTCTTTGTTTTTGTTATTCATCCTGTGTTGTTATTCATCGTGTCCTGCTTCTTTTCCCAATGTGCTGTTTTACCTAAGAGTTAGTCTACTTTCTGAAGATCTTTTAGAGAGAGGCTCTGGAGTGCTGAATCACCTTTAATGATATAGCATTCCTGCCATCTCGGCATCTACGTAGGACTTCCATAGACTTCCTGAATGTGTCTTCTTCAGACACTAAAGTACAGTTGGATCATTTTCTTATCTCTTTTTCTTAAGCAGTACTTTGCAGGTACTCCCCTTTGAAAGCCAGAAACATAAACCCTTGGGGAATCTAACTTGTAGACATGCAGAAAAAGAACTGCCTTTATGTGAGATCTGTGAGTACTTAAAAATAAAGCCCTCAGTGTGTGTGAAGTGTATGAGAAATAAATAGAATTCCCAAATAGTTTAGCAAAGGCAGGGCACAATATCAAATAATTTAAAAGTGGTCCAAGGAACTGTAAGAAGAAGGAACTCATTCTAGAATAAATGTTAAAATGTTAAATTCAAGAACAAAACCACAGATGCCAGACAAACTTCCTGTGCTTAAATTATAGAAGAATAAAAGTCTGAATGAATGGAAAGCCTTACGTGTATACAGTTTACAAATTCCTATTTCTAAAATTTAAGTCCCTTATTTAACAGAAGTATATATTTTAATGCTTAACTGTCTTGGGAAACCTGATTTGTGACATCATCTAAGAGGATGGAAAGACCAGGGAGCCAGTGCCACGTTGAACAGAACAGTGGTTTAGTGAATGTGTGAGGAAAGACACGGGCAACTGATTACTAATGTTTTTGTAATTCAGTTTATAACTTGGAGCCATGAAAAGCAACAAAACTAAACTGTTTTGACAGGCTTTTCCTGTAAGTCACTAGCAGTAGGTGTGAGGTGGGCTTGCCCATGACCAGAAGGGGTGCGTCTGTGTGTGTGCACATGCATGTGTGTGCATGCATGTTGGTCTGCAGTCACAGCATACCTTTATGTGCATGTGTCCTCGCAGCTTGGAACTCAGCAGTATTCTGGGAGAGTGGGGGTGGAGGTGAACTGTCCCATGTATTGTATTATATATTTTTTGAGATGGAGACTTGCTCTGTTGCCCAGGCTGGAGTGCAGTGGCGCAATCTCAGCTCACTGCAACTTTTGCCTCCTGGTTCAAGCAATTCTCCTGCCTCAGCCTCCCGAATAGCTGGGATTACAGGCATGCACCACCACTCCCAGCTAATTTTTGTATTTTTAGTAGAGATGGGGTTTCACCATGTTAGCCAGGCTGGTGTTGAGCTCCTGGCCTCAGGTGATCCACCTTCTTTGGCCTCCCAAAGTGCTGAGATTACAGGCGTGAGCTACCGTGTCTGGCCCCATGTATTGTATTTTTTTCAGTGTATATTGAAATCTACTACCGGGAATGGTGGAATGGGTTTTGGTATGTATAATGGAAATACATAGAGTGGTTATTAAATCTAGAAACACATACATTAATTGTATTAAAATGCTATATCAATACATCATTTATGATGTGTATCTGGTCCCAGATCTCATGGCCACCAGTTTGTTTAAGCATTTTTAATGCTTTCTAATAGCATTCAGTAGCATTAATGGAGGAGGACACTGTGTTTTCTCAGTTAATCTCATTGATTTGTTTGGTATAAGTTTGGGTCAGAAATGAAACTGCCATAACATGGATCAGTACAAGGAAGGGATACAGGGCTTAAAATGTCCACAGTCTTGGCAGTGGACTTGGCAGTTCTCCCAGTAAGCAGAAGTACTTGAGCTTAATTCTGAACTTCAAAATAATATTTTATACTTAATTTTAGGAGCTTTCATTTACAGATTGAAAAATGCCTTGACTGTATTCATATAAATGGTGCTCAAACCTTGTACCCCTTATAAGAACTGCAGCAGTCCACAGTAATGTTGGTTACTTCTGAGTATTTTGATAAAGGAACAAAGTCAAAATGAATGTATTTAATAAGCTTCTTTCTCATTTCCATTGTTTTTATAAAAATATTTTGGTATTGTTGCCTGCATTTTAGCCACTACTAACTTTTTGTATTATGAATTCGGAGAGGATAACAAGCCAACTTTAGACCTTCTGCCAGGGGCAATGGTGTTTTTCTTCCATGGGTAAGCCATTGTGAATGGAGGCCAGCGGGGCAGCACACTGTGTGAACCTGGCAGCACTCATCTTGGCTTGTTTAGCAGTCCCTCTGTTTACACCGTAAGATGTTCAGCATGGGTCCAAAATTCCGCCTGCTCTGAAAAACATGCCCCCGAGGCTCTAGGCAGTTTGGGGCCTTGGTTTCCACCTGCAGATGCGGTCAGATGCCTGGCTTCTGGGGCCAGAGTTTCCTCTGTTACTTGTTGAGTCTCTTGTCTTCGCTGTCAGAAGCTGAACCGACTTGGGGGCTTTGCTGTTGATCCACTTTAGCAAACCTTGCTGCAGAGGACTGTAAAAACAAATAACTAAAAATAAACTTAGAAAATACAACTCAGAAGCCTGGCTGTGTTGCTGTGGTAAAATGTTTGCCTTTGAGGACTTTGGCAGATTGTGCTACTGCATTGGGCTTTAACTTTCTGGCACCCGCAAGGCAGACCTATGATGTCCACATGGCTGACTCTTGACCCCTGGCCATTGTGAGCAGAGGAATCAAGGGTTTAGTGAGGCAGTATTGGGCAGTGCAGAAGAGTTAGATGAGATGAAGCAGTTAGCACAGTGCTTAACCCATACTAAGTGCCCCCAACCCTGCCAAGCAAATTAGGTGCATAGTTACCAGCTTGGGTCTGAATTCAACAGCATTCCCACTGCCCACTGAAAGGGTGGGCTTGGACAGTTCCTGAACCTCCCTAAATCTGTTTCTTCATCTTTACCACACACGGTCTGTCTCAGTGGTGGTGTGGATTAAGTGAGGTGCTAGCACTTATTAGGGGAAGATCCCCCAGACCTGCAAAGCAGGGCCGCTGCCGCAATTCTGACCCAGTCTTGCTGTGTGTTTGCCACAAAGAGGTGTGGTGTGTGCGAGACATTTCTTTATGAACCATTTACACTGCTGGAAATGTACCCAGCAATGTGATGGCAAGAACTTTAACAAATTGCTAATGAATCAGACTCGCATTGGAAGAAGTTAATCATCTGAAGATCGGGGAAGACTGGACTTTCAGAGGTATCTTGGAGCTAGAGAATGAAGTTTGAGTCAGCCGAGCTCTGCCTTCCTGTTTGTCGAAGAACTGGAGTCCGGGAGTCTTGCAAAATGGAGCTGGGCTTCTGAAGAACCCATTGGATAGGTACTGGGCATCCATTAGACAGCAGTGCTACATTGGTCACGTGTAGCAGAAAGACCTCCCCACTGTGAACAGTAAACCACTTTCCTCCTCCACTGGCCCATTCATTTGGATTGATACACTTCTTCAGTGTCAGAAATGCACTTTCTCCCTCTACCTCTCTGAATTACGGTGCTCTGCTCAACTTGGTGGCCAGTGGTTCTTGAATTTCCTTTTCCACCGCCTTCTCCCACTCAAGAAAGTAGAGAGAAAAACAGGGATGCAGGCTGTGGGTCTTATGGAAGCCCTTTACAACCATTAAATAAAGAACACCAGCTGCATTATGTGTGTTTAAAATGAGAGGTTGTTTATACAGTACTTTTCTATTGACCACTTCCATCTTGCCTGAAACCTGGGCATTCTTTCCGTAGCTTCTCTGAATTTTCTGTCCCACGTCCTCACCCCTACCCTTGCCTTTTGTCTGGGCTCGGTTCCCTGTTCAT